TTCTGCTAGTAAACAACTGTATGTTTACACCTAGGCTTAGCCATGTCCATTTCTTATTTCATGTATGTTTACTCATTGAGTTTATGTTTACTTTCTGCAATATTTTTATGATGTGTTAATACAAAAATAAACAGCATGTGTATAAAAAACCTGTCTGTTTTTTTAAATATAAAAGGAAATATTCTTTCTGTCTATGAAAGGAAGGCTGTAGGCCCACCTCTGCAAAACAGAGAGAAGAAAGGAAAACATAAACAGTACTGATATTGACAATATTGACGTTTCATGTCTATAGTAATGCATAAACGTTTTTTAACTCACACGTCCCTTTGTGAAAAGGACAAGAATCATTGCATGGTGCTGTCTAAAATTATTGGCAAAACACATACATCACTTGCACATGCATCCCTTGCATAGAGCTAAAGAGCTCCTCAAAAACCCGTATACAATTATGAATGATTCCATATATTTCCTTTATGGCCACCAGAAGTTTGGCTGTAGGCTATTTAAAACAAATAGAAGGCTAGTTTTACTCCATAAAACATAAAATAATTAATTTTATTCCATACACTCTATTATTTTGTAGTTTGTCTGATAAGGTAGGGCTTATTAACTATTGATAAAGCTATTATTTACAACATATAAGTCATTTACAAATATTTATGCAGCTAATAACGTTCTCTGTAGTTATAAATGTTAATAAGTGCAGCAAATCTGCTAGAGTCCTATTGTTTTTGTTCTCATTCTTCTTCTTATTATTATTTTTCTCCACTAAAACTGTTTGTGCAGCAAAAATTGCTGGACAAAAACTCACCAAAATTGTCAGGTATATTGGAAGTTCCACCTACTACTCAGGCTAAAGAAATGACGCTCATTGTCCTCACGGTGATGCTATAACAATCAACTTTATGTTTTTACAATTATCTCAAAAACAGCTTTTCTTAGAGTAAATATTCTTTGATCATTTTAATCTCTGCATTCTTTTTCACTTTTGCAACTTTTTCTCACAAAAAAACATGCCTTGCAGTTTTGTGACCTGCTTGGTCCCGAATTGAAGGCATTATTCATTTTCCAACAATGAATTGAATTTTGGCAGCCTAAACGTGCTTAATAAATCTCAAAACTTTGCACAAAATTCAAACGTGGTAAAATTTTACATCTCATATGGTTGTCACACATGCCTGCTATACCTACTAGTAAGTGCCTACTGTGTCTGTGGTGTAGCCCCTGCAGCATGAGGCCTGGCATATTCTTGCTGAAATAAGCATGGATGTCCCGGGAACAGACGTCACCTTGATGGCAACATACTGTATGTCTCTAAAATCCCAATAATTCCCTTAGCCTAAGTACCTTCACACATGCAACCCACCCATGCCTTGGTATGGTATGGGGGCACTGATGTACCATTTTACCATCACAGATGCTGGCTTTTGCACCTTTGGCTGATAACAATCTGGATGTTGTTTTTTATTTTTATTTTTTTTCCTTTTTTGGGATGAAGAACTAAATGTCTGTTTCTCCCGAAAACAAGCTGAAATGTGGACTCAAGAAGTACACCCAAGCCCATGTAGCTATATTTATAACAGAAGCATGATGGTTTCTTAGGCAGTGCCACCTGAGGGCTTGAAGGTCACGCACATTCAACAGTGGTTTCCATTTGTATGTTCAAGACGTCCTCTTTGTTTTGGAACCGACAGAGTTGTCTTTCGTCGAATTGGACAACCACGGTGAAGTTAGTTTTAAGTTGGATATTCAACAGACATTCACCCAGGATCCGGTGAGGGCTTCTTATCAGTCACCCACAGTCAGGCAAGTGAAACACACCTCTTCATATTAGATTTCAGTACTTGTTTATTTTATATAAATATTTGTTAATATTTTATTGGAGAAAATTGGTTTGGAGTCCATGAATCACATGACATGGAAGCTATTTAAAAAATACTCAAATCTCATATGAAGAGGTGTGTCTGATTCGCCAGTGTAGTACTACAAGTCGGCATTGGAGTCGGTAGGTCACATGACATGGAAGCTATTGAAAAAAAGCATTATTTCCATAAATAATTAATAAATATTAATATAAAATAAAACAAGTAGGCCTACTCAAATCTAAAATAAAGAGGTGTGTCTGATTTGCACAGAGTAGCTCTACAGTTCGGTGTTGGTTTGATGTCTTTGGATCACATGACATAGAAGCTATTGAAATAAATGATGATTTCCCATAGCACTATTTAACAATTGTAATTTATTGATGGTCCCTAAGCTGACCCCCAGTGGTTAAAAGCGAGCTGTCGAGGTGAGCTAACCGCATTTATACTGCCGACACTGGGTGGCTGAATAAGAAGCCGTCACCGGATCCTGGGTGAATGGCTGTCGAATATCCAACTTGAAACTAACTTCACCGCGGTATTGGACCGGTAAACTACTGCAAAGCATGTGAAATGAATTGTGATTTTGTGAATTAGTTAGATAACGTTAGCTTGACTGTAAAAACAGGCTGTATTTTAGCTGTGAAGGTAATAATGTTGCTCTGTGTGATGTGTGTGCAAAGACAGTGAAATACTTTGGCAACACCGCAAACTTCGCTAAACATCTGAGATTAAGTCTGTCACAATAATAGGATGATGTTATGAAGCGGCAGTTCTGAACAGGATATTTTTATTATAATTTAAGAAGACAGTAGTTTGATGTCTTGTCATTATGCAGCTATTATTTTGAAATGGTAAGGCTACAGCGTAAACCTTATTTCTCTCATAAATACAGAAACGGGAGAGGGACATTAAACTAGAAATAAAAGATGTAAAAAGTATTGGTATGGGATCGGTATCGGCAATACCAGCCAGGGTATTACTTGGTATTGCATCGTATAGGAATTAAGTGGTATCGCACATCACTATGGGCCGTTTAGCCGATCAGAAATTAAAATGTGTTGTTTCCGGGTGAATTCCGTGATCCCGCTGCAAGCATGTTCGTGACAGGCAACATGGATGCGCGTGCACACACGGAGTGGCAGTTGGAAGCGCAAGAACCGATGAATGCGGCAACTGGATGATTTTATGATTCCTGGACAAAATCACTTGCCTGCAGCTAGTGACAGCGGCTGATGTTGGGGAGTACAGCCAAATTCGTGCTAAATTATTATTGATGATGCAGTGAAAAACTCTCCAACCTCTTTGCAACCAGAAGCTTTGGCTTTTTTTGCCAGTGGTGAACAAAGTACCATAGGCCTATTCAGATCCTTTAAAAAATTTAAAGTACCAATACCTCACTGTAAAAATACTCAAATACTGCTTTGAAAAAGTTAAGTAAAAGTATGTAAGTATTGTGTATTAATCACACAATATTTCCCTTAAAGATGTGGTGAAGTAGAAAAGTGGCATGAAAAGAAAATACTCAAGTTCAGTACAAATACCTTGTGTACTTAAGTACAGTACTACTTTGTTACTGTCCACCACTGGGCTTAGCTTTGGCTACCTGAAATTAAGGAAAGGACTAGAGATGTTTTTCTATATTTGGGCTCTGGACAGAGCGCTTTCATCCATCATGATGGTGAAAATTGCTGACCTTGAGCCACAGGGCCTCAAGTGGGAGCCCCCTACCCCTGTCATCAAGAAATTAAAATGTGCAACAAATACAAAATTACCCACACAAAACACCATTCGTAAGCTGAAATGTGTAGCCTACTCACACACACAGCTTGGCATGCGTAGGGTAAGTTCTGCCATCCTTCTGTAGGCCTGTGTGTACAGCACTGCACTTTTAGTTTTGATACATTTCTGTTTTTGAAATACAAGTATATGTAAAAATGGTCTTTTATCAGATTTACCTATTGTTATCATTTCTATTAGTGCAGGTCAATCATGAACTATAGGTAAAATTTAACTGCTAGTAACTTAAGAGAATTGGCTTTGGCAGAGGGGCCGCTGCTGCAAATATTTGAGTGGCTCCTCCTCTAACACGTGCTATCTCACTCCAAACTTTTGATAAATCTTGAGAGCCCTGCATAAACCATCTGGTGGCAACTGACAACTAAAAACAAGCTACAGCCACAATTATGGTACTTTGGACAGTATATTTACTGTTGCCTTATTGGTGTATTAATTGGATTTAACACCAGTGTTTTCACTATTTGTTATCTGTGTTGTAAATAGCTGGACAGATTAAATAAATTAAGTTTTATGCATATTTTGAAAACTGTAAGTCTATACAGTACGTTTTGAGGTAATTATATTGAATTACAAGTTATATTTGGAGCAAAAAAAAGTTTTTTAAAAATACTACAAAATTTTTTATTTATTATGATATGCATCTGTTTTACAAAACAATTAACGAATGAACAATAATTGGTCACTTTAGTTTGTCGTTTTGACGCTGAATGTTTTTCTCAGGGAGGTGGGGGGTTGTGGGTGTGTGTGAACCTTTATACAGTCTATGGTGGGAACACTGACCTACTTTCACTGGAAAGGGTGGTCTGGGGAAGCAGTGTGTGTATGTGTAACGTTATGCTCTGGTATGGCGAGAGCACTAAGGGAACAGGGATTAAGAGGCAACAGAAATATACTCCACTCTTGATTGCGTGACTCATGACACACTAACAAAGGAATAAAATATATGGTTCGCTTTCAATCTTATTAATAATACTTTATTATTATTATAATAATATTCTATGGCTCTGAGAGAATTAGTGTACATCTGTATCTATCTATCTATCTATGGTGATAAATTGTTGTGGATATCAGTTGTCTGGCAGACTAGAAATAAACCTCACCACATCAGTAAAACAGCGTCCTGCACGCTATTGGTGGCCAAATGTCATGCATAGTCACATGACATGAGTAATTGCATTAGGCGGCGTGGTGAGCCAATGGCGTGGCCCATCACCTGACCGCTATTTGAATATTGATGCTCCCTCAGCCGTCACATTGGTGCGCCTTCCTGGTGTTGTTGTGTGAGATTGCCTGCTTTGGGCCATCACCACAGTGAGAGATTTCTATCACCAGCCCGGCGACCAAAATGTCCTCACTGCTGAAGCCGTTTTCGGTGTGTGAGGGGCCGTGCGACAGCTGCTGTGTCAGGAGAGGATGTCCGAGCTCGGCTCCCCATCAGCAGCTTCCATCCCGGCGTCTGGCCGCCGCGGCGGGGCTTGGATTTCTGCCGACACACCAGCGGTCATCCGCGGCGAGGAGAAATCTGGCGGCCGCTGCCGTCGGAGGGAGGAAAATCACGCATCCTGGAAAGGCCATCCTTGCAGGTTGATTTTGCAACGCAAATATTCATCCCGCAGATGTCACCCTCACAGTCGCCCATTGCTTTGTGCGCAGCACATCCTAACGTTAATCTGTCTGTCGCACATTAAGGCCATGCAGAACTGGGTCAAAACGCACCCATCCAGCAGTGATGCTACAGCAGTTGCTTGATGTAGTTGTTTATTTATTACGGCACACATTTTATTCATTTAAATAAACCTAAAAACAAAGACGTTGAAAGGTTCATCCTGACTACAGAGTAGAGACGGGTATATTCAGTAGTCCACTGCTATTATTCCAACTCAGTACAGACGCTGCTGTGTAATCACATTAGCATTTAATTAAAACACAAGATCTAGCATCAGCCACCATCTGTTTTCTGAAATAGAAATGCTGGTAAGTCCTCTCAGAACATTCAAGAACAGTCATGCAGAGTGAGTCAACAAATCCCGTGTTTCTCTCCTTTCCTGCTCTCACTCAGGTGGCATTGCAGGAGGAATCGAGATCTGTATTACCTTCCCTACAGAGTATGTCAAGACCCAGCTGCAGCTAGACGAGAGAGCCAACCCGCCACGATACAGAGGGATCGGTAGGTCACTGGGACATGTATGACTGCTGACAGACTGCAGGTTTGTGTGCCAGTCTTCTGCTGGGTTACTCACTCCTGGATGCTGTGTGTGTGTGCACGCGTGTGTTCAGGTGACTGTGTGAAGCTGACCGTGCAGGATCACGGGCTCAGAGGATTGTATCGAGGTCTCAGCTCTCTGCTCTATGGATCAATACCCAAGTCTGCAGTGAGGTGAAGATGCACACACATGATATAAAGTTGCCTGTAGAAAAGCACATTTGGTTCATAGCATTACAGGGTTTTAAACTTAAGTTAGCAGCTGACTGATTTCAAAGCAGTGACTTAGCATTTCTTGGTACTTAAATTAAAGGCAGCAACATGTGTAGAGTAGGAATTAATGATTATTTTCATTATCAGTTAATCTGCAGATTATTTTCAAATTAATGACTAATTGTTTGTTCTACAAAACATAAAAAAAACAGTGAAAAGTGGCTCATGGAGCTCAAAATGATCTCAAATGTCATGTTTTGTCCTACCAGCTATCCCAAACCTGATTGCCATTCTCACATTTGAGAAACTGGAACAGTTATCAAGACAGATCAACATGTGGAGCTGTGTTATTCTTACATTTGTCACCTTCCCATCTTCCACAGGTTCGGCACGTTTGAGATGCTCAGCAACCCAATGCGAGACCCCACGGGACGGCTAGACAACACGCGGAGCCTCGTGTGTGGTTTAGGAGCAGGCATAGCAGAGGCCATCGTGGTTGTCTGCCCCATGGAGACACTCAAGGTCTGTGAAGCTGCATGCTATTTCCTCTACTGTGGGAAGCTCTTTCCACATCGGTTTTTCTCAACAAATCACCTGAAAGAACAGACTGATTAAATGGTTCTTTCCTCATCCTTCAGGTGAAGATGATCCATGACCAGTGTTCCCTCAGACCTCGCTACAGAGGCTTCTTTCACGGAGTCAGTGAGATTATCAGAGAACAGGGTAAGGGAGCAGGATGACTCAGCATAGTGGAAACAAGTGGCTCTTATATCAATACACTCGTTAACACACAAAGACTTCATACATAGGAGTATTGAGTCGAGAGTCTCTAACTACAAATATGCATATGTGTGGTTTGCGCTCCATAATCAAACATGTTGGACTCATTTAGGTGTGAGGGGGACGTATCAAGGTCTGACAGCCACTGTGCTGAAACAAGGAACCAATCAGGCCATCCGATTCTATGTGATGAACTTGCTGCGCAATTGGTACAAAGGTGAGAAAGCCTACAGCAAAAATCCAAAGTCTCTGTCCTTACTTGACCAGTATTTTTCCTGTCCTTTTAATTGATGCATTTCCCTCCTATTTCCTGTCATTCTCCATGAATCCAACATTTGGATTCTGCCTCTTAGGTGACGACCCCAGGCGAGAAATGCACCCAATTGTCACGGCGATGTTTGGAGCGACGGCGGGAGCTGCCAGCGTCTTTGGAAACACACCTCTGGATGTGGTGAAAACCAGGATGCAGGTAGGAAAACACACCCTGTGATGGTATTATGACTATCATCAGATCTGCCATTTATATGACACTTTTTTTTTTTTTTTGTAGGGTTTGGAGGCCCACCGCTACAAAACCAGTGGATTGCGCCTTCCAGATC